ATGGATTCACATGAACACTTGGGCCGAGTTATATGAAATATCCGTGCGATCACAGTGGTGAACGAAAACAGAGAAGTTACTGGTAACGAAATAGTTACGAGAAGGAACGCGACGATGAAACAACACAGGTGATAAAACAATGTAATAAGTAAATGTGTCCTATTCGGTAATTTTATTGAACTGATTTTTTTTTTAAATATCGGATAAGCTACATATTCAAGGATTACTCAGACTACGGTCAATAAAAGTATGGGACCAAACTACGTTAATCTTATTACTGGAATGCTTGCACACTTCGGACGTAGCTATGCCAGGCCTTTCGATCTTCACCTACCTACCTTCAAGCAGGGACGGAGCCAGGGCGGTTTGCTGAGGGGAGGGGGGGGGGAATCGCCCCTCCCCTCTCCTCGGTCGTCGATCCTAGCGGGGTGCGGAAGAGAGTTTTTCACAGTTTAAATACTGCTACCTGTGCCACTGGGGGAGGGAGGAGGTAGGGGCAAAAAAACCCCATCGCTTCCCTGGACCCACCTATGCTTTCAAGTTAGTATTTATAGTCTAGTCGATGCTAGTGCGTCACTTCTTAGAGGGTGCTCGAATTCGGGGGGGAGGGGGGGAGGGGGTTTCTGAGGGTCTGAGGGTTTACTTTCTCGTGGGTACCACTCAATGATACGCGGCGTTTACCGACGGTCAACAAGGCTCCCGGTCATCGGATTTCCCCAGCTCGCGTGGTTCGCAATGACAAACTGCACAGAATGAGGAGTCAAAAGTACTTCGAAAAAACACCCCAGATGTCTTCGCCGACGTGTGGTTGCATTTGGCAAAGTGCACCTGACACTCAATTGCCTGCGTTTTTCAAAGAAAATAGAAATAAGAAAGGGCTTTAATTTTGATGCAGAAAAAGGAACTCGTTTTTGCTTCCCAAGAACCATCCACTGAAACCTGATTTTTTCAGTGGCACAACGAAAACACGATGTGAGTACACAGTCAACTGCGTTGGAGGAAGGATTTTCGCAGAAATTAATTGAAAACACAGATTAATCAAATGACTGAGAAGAAATACATCTCCAGGAAAAGGCAAATTTTTTCCAAACGATTCGATAGGATACCCAGTCTCTCTGTGATAAACTCATTCATTTCGGTGGTAATTTGGTACTAGCATGTGCATGTGTGTGTGTGTGCGTGTGTGTGTGTGTGTGTGTACTCGTTCGTTCGGGTGTTTTTACTCAGCAGGCGCGCAAGCTCTGAAGCTGAAATTTTGTCAGTGTTCTGTGGCCAAATGCGACCCCAGGAGCGTGATATCAAATGTTACTCAAGTCTACATCCCTCGTACGGACACGTAAAAGTTTTGACGCAAAAATTCGGAAGCCAGAAAAACAGGAGGTTGAAATTTGCCAGCCATTAGCCTTGGGGCC